TAGATATGTGTGGTGAATGTGATCGTATTTCGTTCATAAATATGACAACAGAAGGGGCGAGCATTCTTCAGGCTACCAAAAGAAAACCCAATTAGCGCTGGTGTTCGGAGAGAGAGTTCCTCGGGCCCGCAGGTTTCTCTCCAGTGATGGGGTTGCTACAGTGAGGCTGAGGCACCGCGTGTTGGGGTTCGTTCCTTACACTGCGCACGGTCATGGGTGCAATTGCCCACGTGACATGCAGAGCCAACTACATTTTCCATAAGGGGAGATCTTGCAGTTTACCTGTATATATGTCCTTTACGTGCCAATGTCCTGTATGAACCACAGCAAATCTAGTTCTGCTTCTGCAATTTCAAGCCCTATGTGCACCTTGACCATCCTGATTTATATGCAATAGAGGGGAGCTGCTATGATTGCCCAGTAGTCGACTATGTTTCATCTCATAAAAGCACAAAACAGTGAATATAAGGCCATCGAAAATGTATATCAGTCTAAGTAAGTCAAAATTGTTGCTGGTAAACGGTGAAACGTGACTTTGTCCCTCCCACTTATATTGTTAAAGACAATTACTGTGCAGTACCTAACAATTTCAAACAAACCCCAATTCCAATGAAGTTGGGATGTTGTGTCAAAAGTAAATACAAAAAAAGAATACTGTTATTTGCTAAACCTTTTCACTTATATTCAGTCAAATACACTACAAAGACGAAATTGATTACCGGTACTCAGAGTAAAATTTTTGCTAAATATTCTCTCATATTGAACTTGATGCCTGCAGCAAATTCTAAAGAAGACGGGACAGGGACAACATATTACCGGCAAAGTTGGGAATGTGCAAATAACACCAGTTTGGAACATTCCACAGGTGAACAGCAGAAATGCCATCGGCTTCCCTTGACCTGAGCTTATCTGAGATGGGCTAATGCAAAGTGAAAAAGTGTGCTGTGGTCTGATGAGTCCACATTTCAAATTCCATACATCGATGCATCCATTTTCTAATCCGTTTGTCCTCACGTGTGTCGTGGCGTCCCGGAGCCTATCCCAGCTGTCTTCGGGCAGTAGGCGGAGTACTGGTTGCCAGGCAATAGCTATTCACGCTCACACTCCCACCAAAGGACAATTTAGAATGTTCCATTAACCTGCCATGCATGTTTTTGGAATGTGGGGAATGTGGAGCAGCATTTTCGGGCAATTGAGAACAACATTAAATTCAAGTACTGTTCCAACATGAGTGATGTTCATTGGGAGTTGTGTGGAAGGCTCGCTATCAGCAGCTCCTATCTGGTCTCCATCCCCGAGCTCATTCCATTCAGTGCCAGTCATCAATAAAATAAGGATAGAAAATATACACTAGTTGTATTGTGTAATATGAGTTCATGCACTTATGCATGCTACACCAATTTATTTTGTACCTGTAAAGAATTTTAACAATATTTCTAAATAAATAAATATACAAAGTAAATCACTTGAATTTGGTTATTTTATAAGTAGCTCGCATGCTGAAAAAGTGTTGTCACCCAAGCATGAAATAGTTCAACTGAGAACATGTGGTAGTTACTGTTAGTATACTGTATTATTGTGAACATAATGATAAATTATTAAAGATGACGATAAAAGGATCGGGTGAAGAACTTTTCAAAAGGGAAAGAAGGTATCAAATGGCAGTGTGCTTTGCTGTGATGCAGGATGCCTCTTAAAATATCTTTCTGTGTTTGTTCTTACAAGGTCCACTATCCAAGTGACCTGAGTTCATTTTTTTAAAATTATTTTGAACTTAATGTGAAAGCAGTGTTTTCGCTGATGGTGTAGTGGTACACACGCTGGACTTCTGTCCGGGAAGAGTTGTATCGGCTCCCACTCACTGACGGTGAATGTGGGTGTGAATGTTAGTATGTCTCTATATGTGCCCAGCGACTGACTGGCGACCAGTTCAGGGTGTAGTCTGCCTTCTGCCCGAAGTCAGCTGGGATAGGTTCCAGCAAATCCCTGTTCAGGATAAGCGGTGTTGAAAATGAATGGATGGAATGTGAAAGCAGTGTATGTAGAGAAATGGAAGAACCTGAAGCTTTTCCATTGTCAGTGTGATCCTCACTTTTACCCAGCTTCTTGGAAAGTATAAATGACACCGAGTGTTACATCCTGGAGAGGGGAGGCCTGTGTCCATGGTATCCTGCTGGTGGCAAAAGGTTTTACTGGTGCATTTGACACTGTGATATTCAGTTTACTGTATACTGTATATCAGTGGCGGATGCTGGTCTGTCAAGGAGGGGAAGCTCAATTTTGGCCGACATCACAAAATTTGTCTGTTTATTTATATGTGAATTCTACTCTCCGTTCCTTTTCAAGAAAATTATCTGTGACCCTGTTATACCAACCAGGCGTCTTTTCCAGGGACTTAACTAGTGTCCTCCAACTACAGCAATTACAATAAAACCCACCAGAAATAAAAGATTAATTCGTCGCTAGTCGTTTTCAACAAAGAGAGTGTCGCTAAAGATGATTAGAAGAAGTCTCCAGTTCAACAAAGAATGAGAATTGAAAGATGCTCCGACGGATGCCTACACTAAAAGATCGGTGATTGGCTCATTTCGCTGTCAATCAAAAAGAGATTCAGCCTCAGACAGATCATCTCCAATCATCATGCAGTAAAGCTCGGCGTCCGGGCCAGCCGATACACGCCCACTGTCCATAGACTCCCAGAGACGCTGAGCGTCCGGTGGGCGGGACAAAACCAGCATTTATCCAATGACTCGTCGTGTTTCAATGCCTTGGGACAACGGGCTCTGAATTCTCGAGAAGCCCAGCATCCGCGCTGTAGACGCTCAGCGTCCACACAGTTTAAAGCACAGTGAAGCTGCGGGAATGAATGAAAAGAGAGTTGCATCATAACCAGTCTTAAGAAGCTGATTCAGAACAAAAGTTGATCACGTTATAGCGCATATTTAGTCAATGACATGTACAGTACACACAATTGCATACCTGTCAACTCATACGGTTTAGCCATAGTTCATACGGATTTTGTGGTGAATCTTACGTATATGGCCATATCACACAAATCATACGGATTCTGAAAATTTCCGTTTTTTTTTTTTTCTTCCCCTAACAGGTAGTTCCGTTTGCTTTTGCCCAGAATGGTGCTAGTCTACTCGAATGCTTTCATTTCCTGTAACTTTCCAGTAAATCACGTGGTTCCTAGTTGAAAACAGCAGAGTATTCATTGCATACTTCGGTAGTGTACAAGCAAGTTCTACAAGGAAACAAATATATCATTCATATTTCGTGGGTTTTTTTCTGCCGTTATTTTGACATATAAAATGCTTTGGTATGTTATAAGGATTTTTTGCTCTTTATAAGGATTTTTTTTGGTAGTTTATACAGGTTGGCGCTTCGAAAAGTTGACAGGTATGCAATTGTATGTACACACATATATTTGATCACTTATTTTTTGACATTTTAGGGGAAGCTGAGCTCCCCTTGCAGTCTTAGAGCAATCCCCTCTGCTGTATACTGTATAGTAGTTAGAGTAACTGATTAAAATACACCCACCTATATGTCCAAATCAGTTCAACTGTGGCTAAATTTGAGTGATTTAATTGATATTCACCAGCCTTCATATTTTTCTTTGAACTAATCGGATCACATGCCATTTAATGGCATATGGTGATTTGGGTTACATTTTTAGTTCTCATGCTACCTGGTGAAGGAACACTTAATGTGTCGCCATTGATGCTTAAGAGATGCTTGTTTTGTTGAATTTGCCCTGCAAAAGTGATACTGTATTAAAATAATTCTTGAGTACTTCTATATGAACACCGATAAAATTGGTAATTTCATGTTCAATTGGATCATTGAATTATGTTTCACAAATACAGTATCAATTTATTAAATTCTAGCATGAAAAACCTGCTTTCATCAAAATATATATACACTGAGAGGTTTTCTACTCATAAACTTGGGTATGCACAATTACAACCCCCCGCCCCCATGCATTCCCCTGAGTTGTGTCACATCCACCCATTTCGTCCTGAAACATGATTGCTGTGGCCTAATGTAAACATTGACCTTTGTACTGTTTTAGGGAAAAAAAGAGCTATAGTACATGACTCAGTAGACATGACATGGGTAGACCTAGGGTAAGTCTTCTTTTCTATTTTTTATATATTTTAAAAGTTTAGTTAAAAATTGTGTAAATACAATCAACTCATATCAGCAGAAGGCAATATCAGTTTTTTTAAAATTTTATAGCCAAGTATGTTCTTGACCAGATAACTAACACAGCTGTCATGTTCTCTTGAACAACTTTAACATGTGCACTTATTTACACGCATGCTTTGTAATTAGAGTAAAACCAAAATCAGTATTTAAATACCTGAACGTTGTAACTGTAAAGTATTTAATCACCAGTATTTCTGAAATATATGCTCTCCGAGTAGTGGAATATTTCCAAAGGTAACTTGTGCCCAACACAGCAAAATAGATGATATAATATCCCTTTAAAATAATTACAGTCATGCGTAGCGTTGATGATTGATTAATCAAAATATCGAATGTTTTTTAACCTGTTTTCCCTTGAAAACAAAAATAAAAAAGCCTGTTTTTCAAAAACATTGATGCCTAAATTGCATGACGGAGTTGTAGTCAGCCACTGTGCCTTCTGCTGGAACAAGTCGAATATTGCGCTTGGCAATTGACAAAATGCAAACTGAATGAACTAATTGTAGACCAGTACAGTGGCATACGAAAATTAAGTAGCACGTTTGAATTTATATTCAGTACAAAATATATATATTACCCCCCCCCCCCCCATTACAAGACTTTGCACATGATAACGCTGCTCACTGTTTATATATCGTTACATTAGAGACAGTGTAAATTTGTACCTTATACGATTTTTATAAGACCAGTGTATAAACTGTTGGGGCACTTTGCCATCGTAGAAAAAGACTACAGATACCACAACGCCTTGCGACATGCGTGACTGTGAATCATCCATCCGCATTTTTCCTGAATGATGTGCGCAGTAAAATGGGGCGTTGTAGAGACTCTCACGTCCATTCGTGGATAAACTATTTTTTAAAACATAGGCTACCGTAATGTAAGCAAAAGAAGACCTTCAAGAAAAGGGGAAAATACGGTTTTGGGGTTGGGAGTATTCACGGAAACGGCTACCAAGAGAAGACTTTGCGCAACGGTTCGAACACTTTCAAGCTAAACAGGAATTTATTTTGACATTGGAGCGGGCGGGCGTGTCTCATATGCGTGGAGCTTGTTGGGAGTTTCCCGTTTAAACGAGGTAATTTTGGTTACTTCTCTTGCAAAGAGCAAACGGGACAAGTAACACTACTCTGTGCAAACGGGAGCAGACTTTTATTTGCTTTTTGAGCGAAGGACATGGCCAAGTTGTTCCGCGCTGCTATAATGGGTCCTCCAGGCTCAGGTAAAGGAACCATATCAGAGAGGATTGCGCAAAGCTTCGGCCTGCAGTATTTATCAAGTGGTCACTTTTTACGTGAGAGCATATCAGCTAATACAGGTAAGATAAACTCGAATCTTCGCCTCCTAACCCAGCACGAACACGAATGTTTGGTTTCATAAACACGTGATGCATGAAGCATATCTTGTTCAAGGCAGCATGCGTAAAGCTGGCTATTCTTATTTTATTCTGTAGTTGAATGCTTTTAAAGTCTACAAACACGTTTTTGAATCATTTAAACGTATGGGGAAACGTGTTTTTTGGACATCTATTCGCTCCTCAGCGTGCAAGGCAACTGAGCACGTAACTTTCAATACGTTTGATTATAAACTATCCATTAAGAAGGACAACATTAAATAGCTTACGTGACGTCTGTCTTTGTTACACTGGCTATAAACATGGAGGTGCAATGGAAATAGTACGTAATAATAATGATGATGTACATTCTGTCCGTGATTTCTGTTTGGTTTGGATTTGACTCTCCTGCTTCAATCCACAGCAGGCTCCACACACTGAAGAACTCTCATTTAAAAGCACATTGAAGGCAGCTTGTCGTTTTCCATGTTAGATAACAGATGTCTGACAGTCTAGTTGGGGATTTATTGAGTTTGCTGCCTCCTACGCATAGCAGTTAAATACTCATTTGAATATCAGAGGGAGTACTCTTAAGTCAATAAATGAACTGACTCTATTATCGATCTGTTGTAAACCAGAGGCAGGAGTGCAAGTAAAGACATATGTGGAGAAAGGCATGCTGGTGCCCGATCATGTGATGACCAGGCTAATGATGCCCAGACTGGAAAAACTCAGTGGCCAGAGCTGGCTTTTAGATGGTAAGAAAATATACTATTTATTTCCCTAATGTATTATTACGAATCATCTCTGAACTTTGTGTGCTGCTGTAATATACTAAATCTACCATGTAAAGCAATATGTTATCCATAATGAATGGGGATGGGGATGGCAAGCGTTCCTTTACAGTGATTGGCCAACTTTTTTCCACCCCCATTTTCTCAAATGACTTCTTTAGGAGAAAGGCATGCATGCTCTATAGTGCTTTTACATCTGTACACAATGAACTTGTGGTATTGAAACCTCTACGCTCTGGTCTGTACTTATTTACAGCAACTCAGCTCAACTCAAATTTATACATCATTGCATTTCTGTCATGTAAATATGTGTGTATAATATCCATTTTCATACAAGATTGATTATATTTTTTAATCACATTTTCCACTAGCAATACCAATATGTACCTACATAAGGATTGTTCAGGAAGGATAAACAACATATCTAGAATAGAATAATCTTTATTTGTCAAGTACATGATATTTGACTTGAAAACACAGTAAGTGGTACACATGGGAGTAGAGGCTATTTAAGCACCCGGCCGCAGAGCAGTTTGGTGTCTTGATGTTTTGCTGCAGGACATGGCAGCTGTGTGTCTGGGGGATGTGGTGGCCGGGATCCCCACTGGGGCAGGTGATGATTTTTGATGTCCATTTTATTTTGGTGGAGCTGTCCTAAAAGCAAAACAGGTTACTGCCTTTTTCCGAGTTAAATATTATCTAGTATCTTAATAGTGGACAAACATTGATAAACATTACTTCTTGTTGAGTCACAGGATTAAACCTGGAAGCAGGATCTGTAATCAATCAGTAAACATATCTTTTTGAGGTTGGTCAGAAAAAAAGTTAGGCATACATTTGGAATTACATACATACATATGCATGCCTCACTCATCGTTAAAACACCATACAGCTCAAGAAGACTACATCAAATCATGTTACCCTTTTCACAAAATGCCTAATAATTGCTCTCTCTGCCTTTGTTTCTCACGATTCATCTTCTTTACTTTAGCCACATATTTACCACATTACCCAACACCCTTTTTTTTTAAATAAAAAAAAACATGCATCTCAAAATTCATAGAGAAGAGCTTTTTAGTTTTCAGAAAATTACCTTTCAAAATATTTCTCTGACTCTTCACGTTCAATTCAAGGGAGAGTTTGCGATTTTCAAAAGAAAATGTTTTTGTCAGTGACTCATGGTAAAACTGTCTCCATGACCTGTCTATCGATATTATTAAAGTGATCTTTTGGAAAATTACTTTCATTTTAATTAGTATATCAAAACTTGTCGCACCATGACAATTTGACAAAATTAGCCTCGCGGAGACTGAAGAGACAAAAGGTGTGACTGAGAGGCGTGTCAACCATTTGCAGGCACCTGCTACAGCCACACACGGGAACCCAGAATCCTCAGGTTCCATTATACATTTCCCAAAATACAACATCTAGGTGGTAATTTTCAGTTTGCAACACTCCGTAAGACTCCCAACACGAATCAGTAATGCCCGCCGTGTAGCAGCCATGGCGAAGGTCAGCTTGGTTACGAATGTGCATGTTCACTTAAGTGAGGGGCGTGGCTTTGGAGGGAGACCTAAGGGTAGGAGAAAGAGAGGAGTGAAATGAGCCTACATTCAAATCTTGCTAGCCATTAGAAAACTGTAAATTCCCCTTTAATGTAACACATGTGTTTTTGGAATGTGTGAGAAAGCCGGACGCAAGCAAGGAGGGAACATACAAACTCCAGACTAAAAGCCAGTTGAGATTCAAGCCTCCAACTTCTGACCGTGAGGCAGACATGCTAACCACATTTCACAGTCGCATAACAAAAAGTATTGTATTGTGTGTGTGTGTGTGTGTGTGTGTGTGTGTGTGTGTGTGTGTGTGTGTGTGTGTGTGTGTGTGTGTGTGTGCGCGCGCGCGCGCGCGCGCGTTTTCTCCTGTTTCTCCTGAACGTGCTTCTTTGGTTAATCAGACTCTGAATTGCTCTTTGGTGTAAATGAATGTGTGAATGGTTGTTTGACTATAGCAATTCACTGGCAACCATTCAGTTCAAAGTCAGCTGGGGATCAGCTCCAGTTACCAATGACACGGATACAGAAAATAGATGGATGGGTGTGTTTATGCTTATAACCGCTCTCTACCAAAGTCTATATTTACTGCACCATTGCTGTATCCATTTGTTTCATTTTGATGTGTCAAATTCAAAGGCATTTAAGTCCTGAAAGCAATTGGTCCACCTACACATTTTTTTTTTTTTGTGTTTGTTTACTGGTTATGGAAAGTTATGGAAAGTAACCTTGTGGTAGAAGGTTCGGAACGACAAACAAAAATGTTTTCAGACTGTGGGAGTAAACTGGAAAACCCACCCAAAGTACAGGGAGAAATACTCCATACAGACAGCCCCAAGCTGCTACACTTGGCTCGTAAATGTTTTCTTTTTAACATGTTTAACAGCATGTGTGATAGTGTCTCAGTGTCACACCCAACTTTGTCTTTTCTTGTTTCTCATCAGGTTTTCCACGGACACTTGTACAGGCCCAGTCCCTGAACAGTTTGTACCAGCTTGACTTGGTGATCAGTCTCAACATCCCTTATGAGACTCTTAAAGACAGACTGAGTGACCGCTGGATCCACCCGGGCAGTGGTCGAGTTTACAACATGGGCTTCAACCCACCCCGAGTCCAGGTCTGAAAAATTCAACTTTGAAGTGTTTTTTTTTTTTTAACCCTACACATTCAACTCTGACTGTCAACATGCTCTCACACACAAACTGGTACATATGAACGAAACAAGTATTTCCAGGGTCCATATTAGGCGTAGAAAAAAAAGTGTTTCCGGTAACCCGACCGACCGAGAATTTCTACGTCGAAAAAAAACTTTACGGTCGGCATTTTTTTCAAACAACCGTCTACATTTTTGTGTAGAGGGTTTACATCGGTGCAAACTCACGCGATGTTCCCGTTGAGCGCGTGCGTCGTTTGCCCTGTCGTCTGTCAACAACATTGAATCATGGCGGCGGCGGCGATCTCCGACGACAGTTTAAGCCGCGTTTTCTGTGATACAGTCGCATGCTCGCACCGTAATGTTAAGAAAATAGCATCCATTGATGTATCGAAAAAATTCAGCGAACTATTTGATGAACACCACGGGCCGAGTAAAAACCGAGGGCGGAGGAGGACGGCGGAGGAGGACGGCGGAGGAGGACGGCGGAGGCGGCGGCGCGCCCCGGCCCCCCGGGAGAAAACTAAATCTGAGGCGCCGGCCTCGCAGTGGCAGGTTCAATATCTTCTTGTTTTATGGTTATTTTGTTTAAATTTTTGATGGGGGGGGGAAAATAGATTTAAAAAAAAAAAAAAACGTTGTTCGACCTACCGACCCTATGCTGAAATTTCATGTTACCGGAAACACACATCTTTTTTGTTTGGCCTGATGGCAAATTAGTCTTTCACTGTTTTCATACAAATATTTTGGTGTCTGTTTATGTTTGGAGATGTGTCCATGTGCCACAAAAATGCTTTAATTTTCTTGGGCATTGGCTTATTTGATACAGTCTTGGCTCTGTATCTGATGGGAGAAGAAGCAATGTTATATATTGTACATCAAACAGTGCATATAAAAACTATACACAGCCCTTTTCAAATAAAGTCATGGTTTGTATGTGCTGAAGGTCACATTAAGGGTGGAAAACGTTTCAAAATGATATTGTTCTATTATTTTTATTTCACAAACACTTGTTTAAACTCATGTGTGGCCATTTGCTACCTCTTAACCAGGGTCGGGTAAGGGGTTTCCCAAAGCGTCCCCACAGCTAGCCTGAAGAGGTAGTCTCTCCAGCGGGCCCTGGGTCGTCCCTGGAGCCTCTTACCGGAGGGACATGCTCGGAACACCTCACCAAAGAGGCGTCCAAGAGGTATCCTAACCAGATACCTGAGCCGCCTCAGTCCCTCCCAAATGACAGAGATTTTCACTCAGTCTTGAAGGGAGAGTCCGGAGACATTGCGGAGCAAACTCATTTCGCCCGCTTGTATCCGGGATCTTGTTTTTTCGATCACGACTCATCGCTCGAGACCATACGTGAGGGTAGGACCGTAGCTTGACCAGTAAATCGAGAGCTTCACCTTTCCGCTCAGCTCCTTCACCACGACAGACCAATACAGTCTGATCTGCCTGTCGCTCTCCCGCTCCATTCCGCCCTCCCTTGTGAACACAACCCCAAGACACATGAACTCCTCCAATTTGGGAGGATTTCATCACGACCCTGAGAGGACATTTTTTTCTACCCTTTTCAGACTGAGGGTGTTTTAAAACATTTCTGATACCTCGCCCTGGCTCAGTATCAAATTTAGAATAGGTTCGTTGGAGATAGGCACTCAGAAATGAAACACAAGAGACAAATCTGCTACGAACAAATTACACGTTTATTAGCGCCACAGAATATGTCACACAATCATTCAATAGCACAAGAGACAAATCTGCTACTAACAAATTGCACGTTTATTAGCGCCACAGAATATGTCAAACAAGCAAATATCAGTGTATCAAGCTCTTAGAATAGTACCTAGCTCTTACCGTGCGTCAATAGGATGGAGAGCCAACACCCCAGGTAG